GTGTGTGTGTGTGGTCATCTGCGATCGAGTCCTTGCTTCACACACGACTTGCAGAGCGGGAGGAGGAGGAGGGGGGGCGTTAGCCGAGCTTGGTGATCTGTAGATCTCCTTGTATCCGTACTGTGTCGATAGAGGTCAAAGATTTTACTTTGTGATAAAAGTCAAACAGCTGGTGTCCGTCCACGAATATCCGGAACCGCTGGTGCTCGCAGTGGATCTCGACCTAGAAGACGGAGAGAAGATGGAGAGAAGACGGAGAGAGGAGAAGAGAGTCATCAAGAATCCAGCTTTAGAATAAACAAAGAAACAACTCAGTGTTGTTATTTGTGCATCAAAAACAGGCCTATGTGGTAAATACAGCTGGAAGTTAACTTAGCTTAGCTTAGCCACTCAAAGATATCAATTCTCTCAATGTGCCCGATTGTTTAAATCAACTTCCAGGAATTATTCCCCTGACCTCCGAACAAATCACTTCCTGGATCCGCCGCCTGATCCAGATCTGGAACTAAATTCAAAGGGTTCTTTCCTGACCCATGTAGCTTCCTCTCAAGTTCTGTTGAAATCCGATTAAACCAACCAACACGTACACGGAGAGGCGGACGTAAATAGAGGCCAACACATTTATCGGTTGACTGATACGTGAGCATTTCATCGACATCTTGGTGTCAGTGTTAGTTTGAGATTCTTCTGGTGATGTGCGTTTGTTGGCCACAGAAGACTGATGGTTTGACAGAGGAGGGAAAGAAGCTGGAAAACGAGGAGGTCAACACCCAACTCCAGTGACCCTAATGACTCACGGGCGGATCAACAACTCACATGTATCAACAGCCATTCACACCTCGACTCCGAGGACTCAACAGCCCACTCACTGGGGGGAGGGTTAACGATCTGCCTGATTAACATAACGACTCTAAACACAAGTACAAACCCACAGACGTTAAATACCCGAAACCTCCCATTAGTCAGTTAGAGCTGAAGAAGCCTCGGGATGAAACGTGAGACGTCTTCAAGAAACACAAGCTGACGACGTCAAACTTGTGAAGATAAATACATCAGCCAGTAAATGGGATTATTTTTACTCCCTTATCTTGGTGTCGGCTCTGAATGAAAATCTCTTCTAACACATCTCACTGCTGCTCCATTTCATTGTTTTAACATTTTCCAAAACCACTGAACAAGCATCTGAAAACACTGTGAACCTAAACACACCAAATCCCAAAATGCACCAGTGTAAACAACATCCCTCCGTGCGGTCGGGACCAGAGAGAACAGACTCATAGGTGGGTTCACTGTGCCTGAGGCCGGTCGATGTGATGTTCTCTGAAACCACATCCCGTCACGTGTCCGTCCACATGCCAACAAAACCACAAGGCAACAAGGAACAATCTGCAAAAAAACGTCCCTAATCTCCGTCCCCGAGCTTTTCACTGAGTCATGAACTGGTCACTGTGACGTTACATAACCAGACGCAGGGATTAAAGATGCAGGTTGTTGTGTCTTGTATTGTTTGAATAGAAATTTAATGCTTTAAATTTTTACGGGCACTCGAATGCCTCATCGTATATTTTGAGTCAAACACCATATGTTGGTTTTCAGGCCACATTCAGGATTATTAGAGCGGAATTTGACGTCCTGAGCTCACAAGTCCTCAGGTCTTTCGGAAAATTACGCATCGTGCATTATGTGTTCGACTGCCCCCCCCCACACACACACAAACAGCTGATCCTGACGCAGTAAACAGACGGGCACACAGGATACAAGCTGCATGTAGATATGATTTAACAGAGAAACACACTTCCTGTTTGTCTCTGAACAAAAAAAAAAGAGGCGTTCTGGCACATTTACTGTTGCATTCCTGCAAAAATGAGTGTTTACCCTGAAGGGCTGATCAGGGATGAAGGGGAAGTAGGCAGTGGAAGCCTCCTCCCCTGTCCACTTCCCAGAGATGCGGGCACTGCGTAGGAACTGGCGGTCGCCGAAGCGGGCGGTGAGTTTCAGGGCCACGTCGTACGCCGGCTGCTCCTTCTCTGAGTCACGGCCGCAGGTCAGGCTCACGTCAAAGCTGGAGGAGGAGGAGGGGAACAGAGGATTGAGGGGGGGGGGGCAGAGGATTGAGGGGTCAGACAGACAGGACGTCAGATGTGGGATATGAGTCCAATAGCTAATCTGGGATAAATCATAATTCTGCTGCTGCTGTGTAGGAGCAAAGTGTTGAGTGTTAATTAGTAATAATCCCTGCTGACCCCCCCCCCCCACCATGATTACAGTAACTTCCTCGGCTCTGAGATCCAGACAAAGAGAAGCAGTCTTGTGTTTTGCGTGAGCCGGGACAGTCGCCTGAACTTTGGCATGAATACTGTGCCAGCAGCAGCCACAGAACATGGTGAGGTCATGGGGAGGTTTCATCCAAGTTTGACACAAGTTTCCATGTAGGGAACGAGGACACACCCAAACAAGTCAGCCTCACTGGGCCCTGCTTTCCCCCTCTCTTTCCTCTGTAACCCCCTCTGTCTCCCTGCTGCTGCTGCTGCTGGGGGGAACGCCCTGTCTCTGCATACTTAAGAAGCCACCATTCTCTCCCGGGCTGCCCACAGTGTGTCCTGGAGTGGCTGTGCAGGTCTGACTGGCCTCAGAACAAAGAGCCTATCTCTCACCGAATCACTCATTACAGACACAACAGGACGCTTTACACGTGAAGCTGCAGCAGCTCGTGGTGTTCTCACCTCTCCGGCTCCTGGTCGACAATCCCCATCACTATGATCTTCTTCCCTGGCCGCATGCCTCCCCGGATACGTCCGCTGAATGGCACCGTCTGCGCAAAAAAACAAATTTGATCCATTACGCACATGACCGGAGGCGTAAAGCAGGAGGCACAGGAGGGTGTTGAGGGTTCTTCTTTTCATACCAGGAGACGTGATATGTCCTCCTTGTCAGGTGAGATGAGGCCGGGGTTCCCCAGCGAGTCGTTCAGGTGGTCGTCCTCCACATTCTGCAACACCAGTGAGGAAAAAAGCAAAGGATGCAAACTGTCATTTACAGATGTGCCAAAAACACACACATCCACACACACACACACACACACACACACACACACACACACACACACACACACACACACACACTGGTCTCTGCTTACAACAATGACACGGTGGCAGCAGCAGCAGCAGACTTGTCATGTTGTTATTTTTTGGAGCAGCGTGAGATTAGCAAGTGGCCTCATCGGCTCCAAATTGGCTGCACGCACATTGCGCAGCGCTGCAACCGCGCACATTTCGCGGTGCACCGGCCCATCGGCCCAGGTGAACACACACCGCCGACACTTCCACACAAACGTATCGGGTTTCCCATGTCCTCCCCCCCGGCCACACATGAAAGAGGAGTCGCCCTGCGCGCCCGGAACGCGCTCCGCGCACAATAAACGACATAACGGTGCGTAAAACAATCAACCCCACACGCCTCTGAGTGAAACAACACAAACTCTAACGCACCAGGCACCACCTGTTCTTAAATATACTCACTATTCCGTCGTTCTCCGCTGCCTGCACCGCCATCTTGATGCGTATTAGCGCAGCGCCGCGCTCAGTGCCGGGGGAGAGAGCGTGTGTGTGTCCGCGTCGTGGCGCTGACTCAGGCGGATGTTCCTGTTCCTGCTCCTCCAGCCCGCGTCTGCTCCACGTCTCACCGGGGCCTCGCCGGGCTGCACATGCCTCCTCCGCTGCTCCGCTGCTCCGCTCTCCACGGCCAGTCCTCCTGCGGAAAATGGGTGGATATCTGCTGACGTATGCTTTTATAATAATTACAGAGCAAGAGCTTAATCCCCGTCTGCTGCTGGAGGAGGCTAATCAGACAGATTCCCCCTCAACCCTTCACCCAATTAGACTCCGATTTTATTCCCTGGAACAAAGAACAATCCAGGACAGAGGAGAGAGAGAGGACACTGAGTGTGTGAGCTGCAGAAGGACTCGGCCCTCTGAATTCAGACTGAGATGATTTAACAGCTTCTCACTGAATGAACTGGACATTCACATTATTTCCCTTTCATTGACTTCAGCACAAATACCCCCCCCCCCCCATCCCTCCCCCCTCTGTCCATTCCTGTCCTCCTCCCTCTCTCTCTCCTGCCCCTCTGTGGACATCTACACCCATTACATGAACTCAACAGCCCGTGTCTCATAGGTGTCCTTCACTCTGGGGACATACAGAGATGTACAAATGACCACAGGACAGCCGACCGGTTGAGTTCCTTCTTTTTAATGTGTTAACCTGTCATCTCATAAATCTGTTACACTTCTGAAACAAAATATAGGCAATTATACAGTATGTAAAACAAACCCATTTTTTATTTTACACTATATACATTTCATAACATGTGCATTGCATTATGAAAACAAAAAGACAAAGGTGGTGTGATAGCGACAGAACAGAGGAGACGTGTGTTTTGTGGAATATTGGGAGGATTCCCGGATCAAACTGGGTTTTTAAATAACTCATCTGTGTTTAGTTTCATCCGACTGGAACCAAGTATGCGGAGTTGACCTCCATCCAGAGTTTTCATTCAAGACGTCCACATATCTGGTGTCCACGTCATCTCAAAACAATCACTGTGAATTACCGTCACACAGGATTTGACCCAGGAGAAGTTGAGCTCATGAAACAACAATCAATGGAAGGCCGAGTTGGCACCTGCTTTACAGGTTCATAGATTAAAATCAGAAAAATCACAGAAGCATCGTTCAATCCAACGGAGACACATTGTTATTCTGCAAGAGAGTTTCCCCCAAAAAATAAAACTGAATGAACCCACAGAAAACAAACAAACATACTTTTAACGATTTTAGATGAGCTGCTGTGATAGAGAGTGAAATTTAATAATTATTATATTATTATCATAGTATATTTTGGCATTAAATTAAAAATAACGTAAAATCCATAAACTGTGTGTTCTTTGACATAAGTTTGATGAATTTCTTCCAAATGTACGATGAACTGGAAACAGACTTGGTCATGACACGCTGCTAAAATCAAGAGATATAAGAGAACTGATCCTTAATATCAAAAGTGAATAATCAGTATATTTAGAATAACTGAATTCTCTTTTTGATGCTGAATGAACACATTTGTAAAAGACGCTGATTGTGTGAATAGAACTTGGCCGCAGCTCTGACACTCTCATCTGTATTAACGGATCTTGGCAAGACGCTAATGTTTTAGCATGATTGTGGCTAAATCCCTCGACCGGGTTGGGGACTCACTTTCGAGGCGAGTCCAAATAATGGCAATGAATTTCCACGTTTGCTTGTTTTTCTGAAGCGACAGTCGCCCGAGGAGTTCAGCAAGTTTGGCGTTTGGTTTAATTCATAGACTGAATATATAAAGATGGACGACATGACGGCTCCTGCTTCCTCCACGTTAGTGGATGGGACATGGGCCAAACTAAAAAGGTAAAGTTTCTGTCATTTTCACTGAAGTATGTTCAAATGTTCATTTTCCAGTTGGTTTGGTTTTACTTAGTTATTTAATGAGATGAACCCGAATGACGTCAAAAGCGCAGGATGGTGACGTCTGTTTCCAAGATACTCTGGCTTCATTTTTCTACAATGGGAGGAAGTGTCCGTCTTAATATACAGTCTATGATTTAAAGTCAAATTACACACAGCATTGAGATTCTACAAAACTATGATGAAGAAGTTTCTGCTCTACGTTCACTCCATGGCAGTTTAATGTCGTACTAACGAATTGAATGATCGATATTTGTGCACAGGTGATTTTAAAACAACACAGACAAATCAATTCTATCCTCACAGTGAATTCACACCCTCGATATTCAACACAACGAATCAGGAGCTGGAATCCAGTGAGAGGATCTGATCAGTAAATCATGGTGGAACGGTGGCAGAGCGTGCAGGCGCACAGGTGTGATGTCTGGAGGACGGACGTGCTGCGGCGTCACTGATGCGACTCGTTTCACTGAACACAAAAGGGTAAGAAGAGGAGGAGCAGGAAGCTGCTACGGTTTTCGCCGCTGCCCGTCAGCAGGGGTCAGTTGAACTTTAGCTTTAGCACTGATGATGTAATAAATATTTTCATCTACGATACCATTTTATAGTCTAGCATTGAATTGCGTTTGGATCAAGGGACGTAAATGTCAAAGCACTAGATTTCACAGGAAGCAGGATTTATCGCCCCGTGTGGCGTCAGATACCGATTTCACAAGGTCGCAGCGTACTTCTAGTTTTAAGTTTCTATCAACCAGAGAAATCCCAGTTCACACAGCAGGGATCATCGTTATCACTGCATCAAGAGTCACTTGTGTGCTTTTGTTTTGTGTATGAACTCGATGTTCCGGCGTACACGTCTCTTGTTTATCTGACTGGTTCACTTTCTGCAGCTCACACCTGTGCATCCAATCGAAGAAATGACTGAGAAGTGTGTGACTTGAAAAATTAAGCCAAATAGTCACAGCTCTGATTTCACGGTCGGTGACTGCATCTTCTTATGTTGATCTAAACTAGTGTCAGAGAAACCTCGAGTGTCACAGCTTGTAAAGACGGCCGTGTGCCCTCCCACACACAAGCACACGGTGCACGTCTGCATGCATGTAGTGTCCCTTAGATAAAGTCACAGCAGTGAACGTTGAAGACGAAGGATTTACACAGAAATCAAAATGGCATCTGATCGATCAGCCCAATATTCTGTCTATAAGCAGGACAAAGAATGTTATTGTCCTTGTTTTAGAATTCAGAAACATTATCGTAATATTTGATCCAAACGTTTCTGATGCTGTTAATACAGAGAAGTCTATGAAATAATTATTACCACTCGGTAAAGGAGGTCGTGTGCTCCTGTGCGTTTGTTTGTTTCTCTGCTGGATCACACTAAAACTACAAAAATTACTTTTACTCTCTTTCCTTAACGTTTTTAGCAACTTCCAGGAATTAATTGATGGATCTGAATTTAAATGTGGAGACTGGAATTTCTAACAAGTGCCATTCTAGTATTTGTGTTATTATTTTAATTTGGAATCTCCTTGTTTAGTTATGGATGATGTTTCATTTAAACCAATTTACTGTATAAATATAAACAATTTTTCTTTCTGTGTAAATCCAGATTTTTTTTTTTAAAGGGGCTTCAGGCAGAAACTGTGACTTACAGACCAGATCTGTGTACGATGCACTCATATGTGCAGATTCTATGTCTATGCACACACATATACACACACACTCACACACACACTGTGCATACAAACAAGGTCATATGATGACATCACATTTGTTTATCAAATACGTTTTTTTCTCTGTGCAAAATTTTAACACCAGTGGTTCAATAAAAAAAAAAAAATTTAAAAAAAAAAAAAAAAAGGCTTTCTGATTAAAATAGAATAAAAAAAAAAAAGATGAAGTTGAGACAGGAAACAGAAACGTAAATGAACAGAACTCAAAATGTACGCTGACCTGACAACAGTCGCTATGGTGCAAACAAGCAGGAAGTCTGGATGGCGACGCATGCAGGATGAAAATGACCAATCAGTGCCGCTTCCTGTGTTTGCTCAGTCCGATCCTGAGCTTCCAGATCCTTATTAGAATAATATCAGACGACTACAGCTGTCCACCTGAGGAGACTGCGGGGGTCTTCGCTTCCTGGACCTCGTCACATGATCAGGGAAACAGGAAGTGAATTTACTGCCCTGTGACACCTCCAACGTCTCTGTCTCTATATTTGTCTCCACAGTTGTACAGAGCAACTATACACACACCTATCTACACGACCTTAGTCTTTTTAGTGTTTGTCTCTGTCAAAAAATACTACATTTATATTTACAACAATTAAATAGAGGTCAATTAAGCACTTGTGTGGTGTGGTGATGGTACTGGAATTGGATTCTAGCAGAGGTGGCGAAGCTTTTTTAGTCCGTTTTCTCTTTTTTATCCTTTAAAAAAAAAAAAATTAATAAAACAGGAAAGCCATCCTGGTTGTTAAAGTTACATCATGCCACAATAAATAAAGGTGTAGTTTAAAAAAAAAAGAAAAAGAGGAAGGGAAAGAGGGAGGAGGAGACAGAGGAAAAGACGACAAAGGGGGGAAGGGAAGGTTTTCTGTGCAAGATGGCTGTTCTGTGAAGCTTAGCGCAAGTAGCAGTAGTAGTAGTAGTACTAATGTGTGTAGAAGTAGTAGAAGAAGTAGTGTTGAACTTCTGTGCTGGACGCTGTTTTCCCAGTGTGCTGTATGCAGGGGGAGGTGGGATGCTATCAGGATTCTGGGCTGAAGTCGTTCTTGCAGAGAAGAGACCCCCCCAGCTACCGTGACCCAGACTGGCCTCAGACCAGCTGCTTCAACCCTCGCCCCATCAGAAACCAGCCCACAACCCGCTGTCCTTCTACAACATGCTCAACTGATACACATAAAAACACTGCGGTGCATTTTAAACGAGAGGGAATCCACGTCTGCACCCACAAACTGCTCGTCTCCCAGTTACACTGCCCAGTGAGAAGGTGGAGACGGGTGGGATAGCGATATCGTTGGACTGAGTGTGTCTCCCGGTTGCATCAGTGGTATGCTGTTTAGAGATTGTGTTTGTGTGTGTGAGTGTGTGTGTCTCAGTAGCTGTTTTCATGGCCTGCCAGGATGTAGAGGTTGCTGTGGGCTGTAGGGTTGTCTGTCGGCCTGCTCTCCAGCACCACAACTCTGTAACACAAAAGCACACAGACACACACACACACACAAAAACCCAGGTTAGTTTCAAGTGAGAATACCAAAACATAAATCTGTTTTTTTGCCTTTAAATCCCTGATAAAGTTACGGCCCAGTCTGTTTCAGAATGTTATTAGTTTTTATGGCAAAAGTAAAATACGTCCAGACAACCAGCAACCCACGCAGGATCCACTCTAACCCTGTGAACGCCCAGTTAACAGGAAAAAGACGGCGACAGGAGAGATACATTTTAGTTTCAGACTACAGTACACGTCCTGCAGGGAAACAGACAGAAGGCTGTTAACCATAGACTGTATTTAAAGATGGACGACATGATGGCGGAAACCGATTTACAGGATTTTCTGGCTTCTTTTTTCGTAAAATAGGAGGAAGTGGAAACACGTCATGCGACTTTATACACAGTCTATGGTTTTAACAGGGAGGCTCAGACACATTCACACATCAAAACTTAAAGGCCCTTGTTGAGTAATGAGACAGAAGACACCAAAATGATCCTTAAAGTAGATGATGGCAATGATCAAATGTTGTGAAACTGAAAAATTCAGCATTCAGACCACACAAAGATGATTTTGGTGTCAATGCCGTCATGACTTAATAACACCCCCCCCCCAAAACACACAGTCCCTTCCTCTCAGCCAGTCTCAAAGCTCCTGAGTCAAGCAGACCTCCAGAGTCCCCACAGAAAGAGGCAGAGTTTTGGGCCATGTGTGGCCAGTGGGCAGTGAGTGTACCTGGGCAGAGAGAGGCCTCTGTCCGCGGCCTCTGGATGTCTACAGTCAGCACGTCTTCAGTGATAAGACATCATAGTTAACACAGACCAGAGCGTGTGATGATGTGTATGAAGTGAGAAGTCGTGTGTGTGTTGGTGAGAGTGTGTGTTCTCACCTGTCTGATCCCAGTAGTCTGAAGATGCGTGTGCTGTCAGAGATCTCCTGGGTGATCTGACCAAGGGAAGACACAAAAATCATAAAACGATCTTTAAAGCTTGTGTTTCACTAATAAACCAAGATTTTGAAGATTGATGACAAATTCAGTTTCTTCTGACTGGCCGACAACAATGACGTTAAACTGGATCCTGATCGAATGTTTTCGCGACTTCAAGTGATTTTGCAGATCTGAAAAATCGACCTGTGCAATTCAAGAAATATAATGCTTCATCGATCTGCTTCTATTTCAGGAATCAAGCAGCTACAACAACATCAATTAAAATTCAGTAACAGTCGGACATTGAAGAACATCCTGTCTTGATGCCTGGAAGTGAACCTCATTACACAGTCCATAGACCACCCCCCCCACACCAACACACACACGCTATAAATTGCACCTCGTTGGTCTTGAAGCTCCGTCCCTGCATGCCATGCCTCCAGAAAGCCAGGACACTGTCTTGGAGACAAACTGCAAAGAAGCAGACAAACAGATAAGCTTGTAATTTAAAACCCCACTAGAAGAGTTATGAGAGTCACCACCTCAACATTTATGTCACGGGTGTGGCTCTGTTTTTATTTACCCGTGGCTTCAATCTGGAAGTTGAACGTCAGCTCGGCTGAAAGCTTTCTGCTGGATTTCAAGCGCCCCTGCAGGTTCACTATCTTTATACACCCTGTAGAGAGTGGGATGAGCGAGGTGGTCAAAAGCTTCACAGCACAAACACAGAGATATGTAAAAGTGTGTCTGTGTTGCACTCACTGTCGAGGCAGACGAGGATAGTGTCTCTCTCTAGCTGAGTGACGTGGATCACACACGTCTGTGGTGTGTCTGCAGAGACAGAGATGAGGGAGAGTTCGTTTTTTAACCTTCGTGTTTAACACATCAGAAACATCACGTGTTGTCACGTTAACACGTCAGCACTGGTTCTCACCTGCTTCTGTGAACCAGGAGGAGGTACAGTTGGGGTTGACTGTGCCGAACCGAACCACCTGGTTGAGTTCGGTGCCTTTACTGACGGCCACGCAGATCAGAGGGTAGGTCTGCTCCGGGACCACCAGCATCTCAAAGACCTCCAAGGGACACGGCAGCGGGAAGTCGATGTTCTGTTGTGTTGATGAAAGACGTCGAAAAAGAGAGAAGCTGCCTTAGTGTCACAGACAGGAAGTCAGTATGATTTACAGTAGAATGGAATAAACCAAAACAAGGAGTCATCTTTCAAATGAGCTGATAAACGAGGTGAAGCGTCACGAAACAAACCTTGATGAGCATGAACTTCTGCATGGACTCCACCCACTCCAACAGCATGACGCTGGACTGGAAGGCTCCACACAGATACTTATGACCTGTGTATGGGTTACGCACTGCAAGAACAAAACACTTCTTTATTACCTTGTACATTTTGTGTCTCAGCAGCACTACACACTTTGTTCAGTAGCCTCGATCCTTCTTAGTTACTTAACTATAATATGTGGTTTGACAGTGTCGTTACTCACTCATCAGTTTGTTATTTACTGATTTGGAACTTAAAGTATTATGAGACATAGGTTAAAACATCTTGAAGAGAAATGTGAAATGCTCCTGCTCACCAACGCAGCACTTTTGGCATCCTTTAGTGTCAGGAATCTTATTGGACACAGCAAACTTCCTGTAAAACAGACAAAGACAGTGGATTTTGTGGTTTATGTTGGAGACTTCAGATGATCACAGTTAAATGTGTCTGGTTGGAGCGTTACCTGGGAATCATCTTATCAGGCAGCTTGTGTGTGGGAATGGCTACGGGTAACTTCTGTAACTGCCGGGCCTGTTCGAACAGACCGCTCAGGGTATGAGAGTACAGCTGGGACGCTTTTCCTGGGACGGGATGAAGAGAAGACAAATCACTTAATATGAGAAAAAAAACGTATAAATCCTGTTGTGACAATTCTATATAGAGACGGATAAAAGTAAGAGCTCACCAGATATGGAGAGAAGACAATTGTTCATGACATATAACCAGGTACACCTTCGTGGGAAGAGCTGCAGACAGAAGATAGAGAAAATTAAGATGCAGCGATGAGACATGGGCCGAGAACGATGCCATAAAACTTTCTGGGATTGTTTTTAAATATCTTTATCAACAAAGTAAGATAGGGCAAATTTTGGTTGTTCTTTTTTCACAGATTTCTCAGGGAACATCTCTGAGTGTGTGCAATTTGGTGCAGCCTGAATGATTTGAAGGGAGTGTTGGGCACCTGTTCCATCGTGGTCTCATGCAGCTCATTAAGGTTTAATGTGTAGATCCCCTCTTCAGCTCCAAATATCAAATACTGGTCTGGAAAAAACACAACAATAAACTAATTAGAGCAAAAACAGCTCAGATTACAACATGAACAAACGACTACAAGAGTGAGCTGATGATCAACTCGTCTCCTGTGCGTTACCTCTGGTGTCTGGGTTGATCCATGAAGTGGCACAGTGGATTTTCAGAGGACAACCATTGAACACCTTTGAGAAACATGCTCCCATCTGCCAACAATAGGAGACAATAATTAAACAAGGTGGAAAGCAAGAATTAAATAGATAGAACATGGTGACTGTGCAGATTACGTGTCTCAATTTTATTAATTATAAAATTCTCCCCAGAGATATCAAGGTTTTCTAGAGGAGAGCATAGTTTAAATTAAATATCTGATTGACTTCCTACAGAGTGAATCAACTGAAAATTGATTATATTATACTTCTACAGTTTTATTTTACTATATCTGAGGTAGAGCAGAAACAAACTGTTACTTACATGGACTTTAGGTGTAGGTGGGAGACCATTACTGATTGGCATCTGGGAAAAAATGCATAAACACACACATGCATGCAAACAGAGTCAGTAAGAACTTCTCTCTGGTTGCGGCACCAACAATTCCTCAATTATTAATCTTCACAAGCTTCAAATCTTCACAATTTGTGAGCATTATTTTCAACAAAATAGAAAGGGACAAAATACAGCGAGCTGGCTTCAACAGGGTCCCAAACCTTTCTACTCTATGACACAGCAATATGTGCATTATTAACAAGTTTTTCAATATGTTAACTAAATAAAGTCAGTGTAAATAAATTTGGATCCTTTGGAAATTCCTCATCATCAATGTTGAGCAAAGTCTGCTTACTGTAACATCCTTCTTGTCTTTCCGTATGGGGACACTAGGGGGCATGGTGGACTGTCTCTCTGCCGGACTGTCCCTCTCGCCATTGTGTGGAGAGTTCAGCCCGTTACCTACAACCAACAAAAACAACAGAGCCACAGCTCAGTACGTCTGAGGGACAGAGAAACAGAGACAGTGAGGGACAGAGAGAGAGAGAGAGACAGTCTGTACAGATGCAGATTTGTCTTTCAGGGAGAGAATGAGTGAAAAGAACAGATGGTGACTACACTCATAAACATCATTGGTTTCGGTGAGTACAGTCTAATCTGCAGGACTAGAGACACAGAGGAGAGTTTAACTAAAACAAAGAAATACTGGGAGCAGAGAGGGAGGGAGGGAGGGAGTGAGGGAGCAGGCTGCAGCAGGAAGAAAACAGAGGATCAAATACGGTCGTGACCTAAAGAAGGTGTGAATGAACCAGACACCACTCAGACAGTGGTCAGTGCACGTTAGCCAGTCAATCTGCAGACTACTGAGATGGAAAAGTTTGAGTTGGCAAAAAGACATTTAAATACTGGGACTGAGCTACGGACAAATTCATTTTCTCTCAAGACCGAGAGAATGACCCTCACGCACACTGTCTCTACCAGTGCATAAAGTTAAAGGACCGTTCCAAGTGACGCTGCAGTTTTCCATGTTCTCCAGTGTGTTTTGCCAGTTTTCAGTGCTGCAAATCCAAACCATCTGCATTTGATTCTTTCGCTTAAGAATCGTAACACCAAGAAGTCACCAAGAAAAACACACCAGCAGGACAGAGTGTATTTTAGCGCTGGATGAAAATAGAGGATTCATTTGTATGTGCACCATCATTCAATGTTACTGTCTGTGGTTCTGAGCCAGGACGATGTTTTCTCCTCTCCCTTCTCCCTCCTTGGAAGCGAGGGTAAGTGGTAGCAGACTGGTATGTTTTGACTGATTGGGGTTAATCAACCAATCAGATGCCAGTAAAGATGACAAACAACCATATTAAGCAGAAGCTGATGGACGGGAGAAACTACAAACAAAAAAAATAAAAGGCACTAGTATTAATGAGCTCATGGGACAAATAAATCAACCAGACTCTGAGGACTGACTGATGGGAGACCACACAACCAATTGAAGGGGACAAGAGGGTCTGCGGAAACTACCAATCTACCAATCGGCTGCTCTTACTCGCTTCCTTCTCCTCCTTTTTTTCCTCCTCCTCTTTCACCTCCTTCAGCACCTCCCATGCCTCCTCCAGCTCCTCCTCTGTGTGAGGCGTGTGGAGCCACTCCCAGAAATGCCTAAAGCTCCCATCATCGTCTGGGGCAGAGTTTTCGCCGTCCGTGCGCTTTGGGCTCTCGTTACCTAAGCTGCTGCGGCGATGGGGCGGCAGCTTCGGGGGTGGGGGCCGCGGAGGGACGTTGGAGGCGGGCTTGGCCGGACTCGACGTCTGCAGAACCGGACGGCGTTTGATGGTTCCTCCCCCTCCGCTGTCATCCTCACTGTGGGATTGGCTGTCGTCTTGTTTCAGTTGTTGCTGCTGCAGGGACGAGCAGATGGACTTGGGCTGAGAAGACACAGTTAAACACAAAGAGTTGGTTCATTTCTCATTTTAAAGGAGCAAAACTATGAAATAAAACTACTAACTAAAATTATTATTAATTATTATTTGACTCTTAAAAATCACAAATCACTGGCTGAATAGTTTGTTCATACCTTGGGTGGCAGCGGGGGTGGGACCTTTGGCCTCATGATGGTGCTCGATTTACTGAAGGATAAGAACAAAGAATTTAAAACTCAAAACATAAACCAGCAACTGAAACATGACTTATACTGAAATCTATACAGACCTTTGTTATCATGTCACCACAGAGGCTATGGTCTCTCTTGCCATTTTTATAAAATCAGATATTTTAGAATTTATACTTGAAATACAGCACTGAACTGTACTGTCAGGTTCTTTACACAGACAAAAAATGTATTTATAATAAATTTAGATTTAAAATTTGTCCAAACCGAACCAGATGGGACGATCGGACATGAAAAGTAGAACCATAGCCCGACGCTGGGACAGACACAAGATCACTACTTAAAAAGGTTAATTACTATGTACATGATGGGATTATGTAAAACTACAGATGAAGCTTTTGTAAAGTCTCTGAGAATAGTCGTGCTGAACACATGCTGATCGTGGCTGAAATCCCTCCAAACATTTTCTAATACTTCACATTCAACATATTCTCTCACAAGTTTTTTTAAACGGAATATTTAATCAGTGTTTGAGTTGTAATTGTTTCTCATTTGATTCAACAGACGTCATATTTTTGAGGCTTTAAAGCAAAGAGTTATGCTAAAAATAACGATTCTGACGATAGAGCAGCACTGTATTCACAGAGACTTCATCCATTTCAGCTTAAACCTGCAGATTTAAAAACCACTTGTTAATGACAGTGAAGCGATCAAACAAACAAGAGGCTGGGAGCCAATCAATGTGAACACAAATACAAAGACACCAATAAAATGAACCAGAGGGATTCAGCTGAATGGCTTTCAACACACACACACACAGCTCTGTACCCCGGCTCTTCATTGAACTGATGAGTGACTGACACAGTTTAAACTTTCAGAGCTGGAACCTCGTCACACATTACGGGTAGAATAAAACTACTGAACTGGAAACTGTGACAGGGTGTTGGGCTGGACAGGGCGTTTAATTTTGATGATGTTGATTTTAGCCCCAAAATATTAACTTTAGCATTATGTGAATACCCAGAAGCTGTTGCTCTGATTTAACTTTTAACTAAATGTGTCACAGTCAATTAATTCAAAGTGAGTAATAAAGGTTCTTTCTATTTGTGTAATCATTGCAGTCAGTTGACACCGAAATTATTAGGTGTGAAAGGACTTTCTGCCTTCTGTGGAAAATATCTGTGTGTGCTGCAGAAATGTGGCTTTTACATGAAGAGAAACGAGGAAAGATGCCATAAATACAGTTTTTTAAGAGCGAGAGAAGGCAGAGGGAAGCAAACACACACACACACA